TTGTTGTAGCTCTTTTTGGCCTTGGTGTTTGCACGTGAGTGTTGAGTGGCCTGGCGGGACTTTGGCTGGAGTTGCGTGGGGCTTGCAGGCCAGCCGGGGAGAGTTGCCACCTTGTGTGTGCATGTGGTGCACTGGGCCCTGGGCGAGGGGCTAAAGGGCTATGTCAGGAGGACACCAGCATCCTCGTCTGAGGCGCTGACTCTGCGAAGAGCACGAAGGTGGGCAGGAGCCTTTGTTGTTTTCAGCGATTCTGGCAAAACTAGGTGTGCCCCGGCCTCTGTTCTCCCCCAGCACATTCTTTCTTACCCTCTTGTAGCCTTTTTTTTCTTAGTTATTCCTTCACTGTTTTGCGTTCCTAGTGGGAGCATGTTAAGCCCGAAGTTCTGATCCTATGGGGTAGTCCTGCGTAGGTCTCTCACCTGCACACCCCCCAGAAGCTTTGGGTCCCTCCCACTTCAGTCACTCGCTGACACTTTGACTGCCCTTACTTGGACAGCTTGGGCATTTCAGAGCCCTTAAATTCCTCTCCACAGGTACGGGACAACAGAAAATGGTGCAGCACCCGCTGGTATCAGATGTCTGGGTCACTGTGGCGATACCTTCACAACCCTGAGGCCCTGGGTGTACGTGGCCGCTTGCAATCAATCCCACGCCGCCTGGTGCCAGGGAGCACGGGCTCTTCTGTCTTTAGATGGCACAGTGAACGCCTGTGCCCAGCGTCCCACTGGGCAGCACCACTAACACGGTGACAGGCTCCCTCACACACGCCAGCCGGGCTGGCCTGGGAAGAGGCAGGAAGAGTGAGACCACATTTTCAAATAGTAGCTGAATTTCTTTCTTTTCTTTCCTTTTGTTAATTTTCTGCTGGCTTCATTCTCAAACGTGACAGTCTGGTCTCTGCTCTGTGGCTTCTCTAGATAGAGAGCCTCCTCCTTGCATGAGGGTTTAATTGGCCCATGTCCACGTGTGCTTGCGGGGCACTTAGAGGTCGCGTGGTGGCCCATGTGGTGTCGGCCGTGCCAGCGGGCTTGGATGGCTGTGGCGTGCAGCATCCATCCGTGGAATGCGACAGTGATGGCTCTTGGCTTCAGCTGATGAGTCCGCCAGATCCATCAAAATGGAGCTGATACAGGGTTATATAAGGGCTATTAGAGCCCAGCAGTGAAAAATGCATGAACGCTTGATGCTGTCTTAGTCTTAGGTTTTCCTCTGGGGTCTAATCAGAGTCTTACGTGAGTAGCTTTGCTCACCTGCTGAAGGTGTGAGGATACACTGGGGTCTGGCGTGTGCCAAGAGGACGGCAGCACGGCCCCTTATAAATTTGAGCATGTTAGTAAACTCAGGAGGACCACAGTCCTGGTCACAGGGGCTGTGTTACTGTGGGACCAGTGAGCTGAGGGCAGGAGGCCGCTTATCCTCAGCGCGGGAGGACAGGGGTAGAGTCTGCCTTGCACAGACAGCACTCAGCCCTTCTGGAGGGTGGGCACCCAGTGACCGAGGCCCTGTCTGCACAAGCACTCAGCCAGGCTCTGAGGGGCACGGAGACTGGGCAGGTAAACCTGGTACTCCCTTCCTTCGTGCTTGGCGTAGAGGTGGGTGATTGTGTGAGGCACAGTGGCCACTCTGGGCCCTCACGGCATCTCCCCTCGGCTGGCCCACCCGGGCTTCACGGTGTCTCCCCCCGGCTGGCCCCCCAGGCCTCCCGGCGTCTCCCCCCAGCTGGCCCACCCGGGCCTCACAGTGTCTCCCCCCGGCTGGCCCCCCCAGGCCTCCCGGCGTCTCCCCCCAGCTGGCCCACCTGGGCCTCACGGTGTCTCCCTCCGGCTGGCCCACCCGGGCCTCACAGCGTCACCCCTCGGCTGGCCCACCCGGGCCTCACGGCTTTCTCTCCTCAGCTGGCTCATCCGTACCGTGCGATGATCCTGAAGGCTATGGAGGCAGTCGTGCGCAGTCACATCAGCAAGCTTGACAAGGACATGGCCAGGGCTATCATCCTGCTAGCCTCCAGTGAGATGACCAAGGCCAAGGTAAGCCCGTGTGCCTGTCTGGGCTCCCCAGCTGCCTGACTGGGCTGAGGCATGGAGAGCTGCTGCTTTCTGGGGTCACCTGCTCTCCTGGGGGGGCTCATCTGTAATTTTCAAGGGGAACTGAAGCAGAGAGCAAAACACCTAACTCTCACAGCAAATACCAAGGTGTTGGTGTCTGCTTGGGCTGAAGCCGTGGGGGGGTCACCATGGTGTTTCGGGGGTGGCGCATGGGCTCAGAGGTGATGCCGGGTAGTGGCACGCTGCTTCTCTTATGGGTGTGTGGGTTCTCAGTGGAGAGCCCTTGGGCAAGCCGTCTCCTGTGGAGGCTGGCTTGCTCTCTGCAGGGCATCTGGCTGTGCCTCCTGGACACCGTCAGGGCGAGGCTCCACCGGCGCCCTGGGAGCAGGTGTGAGCTCAGACTCTGCTGTGTGGACACAGGACCTGGTACCTGACTGGCAGCAGGCCGCAAGCAGCGTCCTCGTGGCTGTGGGCACGCGGTTCATCAATGCCGTGATGGAGGAGCTGCTGAGCCGGTTCCAACCCGGCCTGCTGCCCCACCACTTTATCGTGCAGACGCTTGCCAGCCTCGCGGCGTCCAATGGTAGGCATGGTGGTCCCCCCTCCCACTGCCAGCCTCAGGCTGTTGTGAGCACCAGTGCCCACATTGTGAGAGCCCCTCCCCCAGGAAAGTCTGGGGGTGTGGACGGCATGTGGGACCTGGGTGTGGCGGGCTGACCCGGCCTCTCCTGCAGTGTTTGGCATGGTGCCCTTCCTGACCTCCATCCTGAGCACCATGTTGCCCATGCTGCCCATGGCCAAGCAGGACGCGATGCGGGTGGTGTTCTGCTCCGGTGAGAGGCCCCCCCGCCCCCTCGTCTCAGAACCTCCTCGGGGGGCCATGCTCGATCTCAGCACCACCCTGGAGCTCATCAGGCTTTGGTGTTGAGGGAAGGGAGGGATGGTGGGGAGGAGGAACACTGTGGCCTCTGGCCCCTGGCTCTGCCCGGCACCTTCTGGCCAGCTTACCCCTCCGACTGCCCACCCCACAAACACCAGCAGCCTCAGGGTCTGCTCTTCTTGCTCGCGGGGCCAAGGCTGGTCTACAGTGGCCACCCAGAAGGCCCTCGAGGCGGTCCTGACCGTCTGCATTGTCCATCTCCCTTGGGTACTGTACCCCTGGGCTGGGGCTCCCCTGGTTCCCCTTTAACCCTGCGTGCTTCTCAAGCGCACAGTGTGCTCAGCATCGCTGGCTCGTTGCAGCACTACGGCACTTCAGTGAGAGCATCCTGGAGTACCTGGCAGACCTGGACCAGGCCCCAGACCCCACGGTCAGGAAGGACGCCTTCTCCTCCCACATCTTCAGCGCCCACGACGTGCTCTTCAACCACTGGCTGCAGAGTCGCGAAGCCAAGGTACACTCTGCCCCGTTGAGGGCCCTGCGCCTGACCCCACCGGGCTCTAACCCCCCATGCACACCCTGTGTCCAGCTCGGGCTCTCTGCTTGGGACGTTGAGCGTCTCCTCTGAGGGTGGGGTCATGGGGGCTGTGGCACGCGCCGTCCTCTCAAGGGCCCTGAGCAAGTTGGAGCTCAGGAAGCAGGGCCTTTGTGGTGTCTCACCTGCAGTCCCCACCCCTGCACGGTGTCTCACCTGAGCGTCCCCACCCCCGCGCAGCCGCACACCCGCACAGTATCTTACTTGCGGGGCCCCACACCTGTGTGGTGTCTCACCTGCGGGGCCCCACACCCACACAGTATCTCACCTGCATGGCCCCACACCCGTGCGATGTCTCACCTATGGGTCACCACCCATGCATGGTGTCTCACCTGAGTGTCCCCACCCCTGCGCAGTGTCTCACCTGCACGTCCCCACACCTATGGGGTGTCTCACCTGCGGGATACCACACCTGTGCAGTGTCTCACCTGCGGGTCACCACACCCATACGGTGTCTCACCTGAGGGGCCCCACATCTGTGCAATATCTCACCTGTGGGACACCACACCTGTGCCGTGTCTCACCTGAGGGGGCCCCATACCTGTGCGGTGTCTCATCTGAAGGGCCGCACACCCACGCAGTATCTCACCTGAGCATCCCTACACCTACACAGTATTTTACCTGAGCATTCTCACACCTGCACGGCATCCTACCTGCAGATCCCCACTGTGGCTGTCAGGCAAGCGCTGGGCTGTACACCCTACTCTCCTCATGAGCGTATGTTCCTGATGCCCAGATGCCTCAGACACTTCGCCTCCCCCAACCCTGAGCACCACAGTGTTGGCTGGGGAGAGGGCCGTAGCATGACAGCCACTTAGTGCTCACACCACTGCACGTCTCACACACATGGCCCCACCAGCCTGTCTGCAGCCTCACCTCTTGCGGTCACTTGGAGGTCACCTCATGATCACTCTGCGGTCACTCTGCAGTCACTATATAGTCACTTGATGGTCACCCTGAGGTCACTATGTGGTCACCCCACAGTCTTTCGGTAATCACCCCACGATCACTCAGTGGTCACCCCACGATCACTCAGTGGTCACCCCACAATCACTCAGTGGTCACCTCACAGTCACTCACGGTCACCCGGCACCCTGTGTCTGGCATGGTCCTGATGTGTGCCATGTGTCCACATATGCCTGCAGCTCCGGCTGGCTGTGGTGGAAGCCCTGGGACCCATGAGCCACCTGCTGCCCAACGAGAGGCTGGAGGAGCAGCTCCCCAGGCTCATCCCAGGGGTGCTCGCCCTCTACAAGAAGCATGCTGAGACCTTCCATGTGTCCAAGGTGTGCCCACATCCCCACTTCTGTCTGCACTGCACTGGAGGGGCTCAGCCCTGCCTGGGGTCCTGGGCAGGTGTGTCTGCACTCTGGGAGGGGCTCAGCGTGGCATGGGGGTCCTGGGCAGGGGTCTCTGCACTCAGGGAGGGGCTCAGCCCTGCGCGGGGTCCTGGGCAGGGGTCTCTGCACTCGGGGAGGGGCTCAACTTGGTGTGGGGTCCTGGGCAGGTGTGTCTGCACTTAGGGAGGGGCTCAGCCTGGGCAGGGTGTCTGTTTGTGGAAGGACTCAGCTTGGTGCAGGGTCCTGGCAGACCCAGTCGGATTCCCTTCAGCACCCAGGCCAGGCGGGAGCCTAGGTCCTACACCATCTCCATCCCCACCTCTCCCCGCCTGCCCCAATCCTCTGACCTAGAAGGTCCTTTCTTGACTCCCTCAGCCTCTTCTGAATTTAAGTGGGGGAGGCGGGACTTCCTCATATGGCCCGAGGGGTTCTGTGCCCTCTGGCCTCCCGCATGGTCTGGCCTCTCCTAACGCCTCTTCTTCCTGCCTGGCAGAGCCTAGGTCAGATCTTGGAGGCGGCTGTGAGCGTGGGCAGCCGCACGCTGGAGGTCCAGCTCGATGCACTGCTGGCTGCTTTGCATGCCCAGGTAGGCTGTGGGGCTGGGGTCAGAGAGGAACCTTTGGTAGGAATGTTGTCCTTTGAGGAGCCAAGTGCAGGAGCCTGCAGCTGGGTGGTCCAGCCATGAGGGGTTGGGCAGCGTTCCCCACGAACCGTCAGGTGTGTGCCCTCCTGCGCCCCAGCCGCGCGTCTCCTGTACTCGGCGTGGTGCCTGCGGCGTGCTGTCGACGCCCCACGGCGGGAGGGAAGAGCGCAGAGAGGTGGGGTCAGCCTGTGCTGAGCCCTGTCACAGGGGCCACTGCCGGGGTCTCTGAGCGCATGGGATTGGCCTGGCGTTGGGCTGTGCGTGTGCTCAGACATGGCTGTGCTTTCGTTCCGTGTGCTCCGTCAGTCTTTCTAGTTAGTTCTTCCTTTTGTGCTTGGTTCCCTCTGCCAACCTTTCTCCAGTTGGTCCCCATGCCCCTCAGCACTCTGATCATGTACTCACCGCTCGGCCGGCCCACCAGCGGGGAGCTCTAGTCCTAGGAGGAGGAGCGCTTTCTAGGTCTGGCCGAGGGTCTCTGCTGTGGAAACAGCAGGGAAGGGGGCAGCAGGTGGGGGGACAGCGAGGAAGCCGGTGTGGCTGGAGTGGGCCTTGCCCTCACCTTGAGAGAAGTGGGTCCTGTGGCCGGGCTTTGGGCAGGGGACTGGCCTGGAGGGACTCCCTCCGGTGTGTGGCAGGAGGTGGCTGCAGCATCAAGGTGAGGAGGACAGAGGCTCAGATGGGGCGGGCAGAGTTGTGTGGAATGGCCGGATTCTGGGGTGAGGGAGGGAGGGATGGGTGACTGCTCACAGGGGTGAGGGCTGTGGTGCATGGGGCACCTGGCAGGGCTCTACAAGGAGGTGCTGGCTTACAGCTAATGGTCTGCATGTCCATCTGCATGTCACTGCATTGGGTGTGGGTCCCTGAGGAACTGAGTGCACACAGGGCAGAGTCCCAGGCAGGCTGTGGGCACCCAGGGTAGGCAGAGGCTGTGCATCAGCAGGAGCCGAGGAGGAGGGTGTTCAAGGGGTGGCCGGGCAGCTGCGCAGACACTGCCCCAGATCAAAGCTGATAAGGCTGAGACTGGCTGCTGGCATGGCATGTGGATCACAGGCGTCCCCAGAGGGCAGTGAGGTGGGGCCATGGGGATGGAGGCCTGGTTGGACTTTCTGGATGAGAAAGGAGGAGGGCAGGAGGCTGGAGAGTGTGAGGGTAGGTAGTTCTTAAGGAGACTTCTGGAAGAGAAGCACAGAAGTGTGTATTGGCTTCTTTGCACTGTCCCCACTGTGGCCTCTGGCCCTGCTGGCCTCTCCCATACCTTCTGGGACACTGACTGCATCTGGGAATGCTCAGCTCCCTGACACACATGGGCCATGCTGCCCAGATCCTTGGCCCTGGTACTTCCAGCTACGCCCTCAACCCTTGTTCCCTGCCAAGGGGAAGGGGAAGGGCTGCAACACAGCTGTTAAAAAGTAATAGAGGTATAGTGAACACTTACATGGTGATGGGATTGAAAAGCTGTATCAAATGGATAGATTTCTAGAAAAACAAAAAATGTCAAAATTGGCAGAAGAAAGAGAGAACTCGAATAAACCAATAAAAAAATGGAAATAATAGTCCAGGACTATCCCTCCTTAAAACAAACCCAGGACCCAAATGGTTTTGTTGTTCGGATCTACCAAGCTTTCGAGGAGCGGTTAATTCCCGTCCTCACAACTGCTTTGGGAATCAGAGAAAGATCCAGAGCAGCCTAATTTGTTTTGTGAGGTCAGCCTTCATTCCAAATCCGTATCAGGGCCCTGTGTGTCGTTTTGAGTGTTGATGTAAAGATCTCGTAGAAAATAACTGCTAATTGCGTCTAGCACTGTACTTTTCAAAACACATGATCAAGTAGGTTTAGCCCAGGAATGCTAGCTTTGTTTAGCTTCAAAAAGCTATCAGCACACCTTATCACAGAAATAGATAAAAGAAAAATATAATCTGATCTAAATTGATGCAGCAAAAGCTTGTGATGAAGCTCAACACCTATTTATCATTAAAAACTCTTAGCAAACTAACATCAGAAAGGAACTTCTTAGCTTTATACAGTTTATATACCTAAATCCCAGCACATGTCCTAATTAATGGGAAACTTTGGGTGCAGTCTCTTTAAGATCAAGAGCAGAAAGAACCTCGACTATCCCTTGGTTGGAATCACTGGCCAAAGCAATAAGGAAAGAAAAAGAAACAGATGTGGGGCTTGGAAGAGAAGATGGACTGTCATTATTTGTCATCTCCTGCCTCACGCCTCCTTGTCCTGTTCCCAGCTTTGTATTCTTCATAGCACGTATCTCCTTTTAACATGTCTCTCCCCAGCTAGCTACAAGCCCAACCTATAAAAATCAATAGCGTTTTACTACGTCAGTAGTAACCAACTAATGCCTTTGAATTACGGTGTTGGCAAGGAATATTGTCTATACTATGGACTGCCAGAAGAACAAACAAATCTGTCTTGGAAGAAGTACAGCTAGAATGCTTCTTAGAAGCAAGGATGGCGAGACTTCATCTCATGTACTTTGGACATGTTATCAGGAAGGACCAGTACCTGGAGAAGGACGTCATGCTTGATAAAGTAGAAGGTCGGCAAAAAAGAGGAAGATCCTCAATGAGGTGGATTGGCACAGTAGCTGCAACAATGGGCTCAAACACGGCAACGATGGGGAGGATGGCGCAGGACTGGGCAGTGTTTCGTTCTGTTGTCCACGGGGTCGCTGTGAGTCAGAACCAAGTCACCTAACAACAACAACAAGTAACCAACTAGAAGGTATATTTAAAACAAAACAAAGACTTGCCAGTTATAATAGGAACAAAAATTTAGAAAGTACAGGCAGTCCCTGGATTATGATTGAGTTTCCCTTCCTAGCTGTCTTTAATTCGAATTTGCATGTAAGTCAGAATAGTTAGATACGCTTCGTATCTAACGTCAGTTAAGTGTTTATCTTCCTATATAGTGTACTTCTGTGCTAAAACACATTAAGGAAACACTTGCAGTTACACCAGACGTCTTTGGCGTGATAATACAGTAGCAATACTTTGATGCACGTTGCGAAGTAGTGCCTATTAGTATTAACCATTGTACGTATCTCAAATTTGTAATATAACAGGTTTTACAGGAGTTGGTTCCTAACTACAGGTTGTACATAAGTTGGACGTTAGTTACCCTGGGACTGCCCATATCTGGGAATTAACCTAACCAAAATGCCCAAGACCTCTATGGAGAAAAGTTTACAACTCTAAACACATAATAGAAAAAGTAGCACAATTTCATTTACTTAATATAAAAATCGCAGTGATTAAGAGATTGGCTGCAAACCAAAAGGTCGGCAGTTCGAATTCACCAGCCGCTCTTTGGAAACCCTGTGGGGCAGTTCTTCTCTGTCCTATAGGGTCGCTATGAGTCGGAATCGACTCAACAACAATTGTTTTTTTTAATATAAAAATGACGGCACAAAACAACACACATTTGCAAAAACTATAAAAACAGAGATACTTGTTACTTTAGAACGATCATTATGGTGGATGGGAGGGGGGAATGGGTATAAAAGGGTTATAAATATATAAAAGCTGAGAAGGTAAGAAAAAATGTCATTTCTTTCTCTGAACTGTCCATTCATGTCTTTTTTTTTTTTCCTGTTGGGTTTTAGGTCTTTTTCATATTGATCTGTAGCAGTTTTTTATAGTCTAGTATCACATATGTGTAAGTATTTGTTCCTAGTTTGTCCTTTATCTTTTTGACTTTTTGGTATATTTTTTTGCCACGCAAATTTTTACATCATCATTTACTCATCTTCTATGTTTTAAGTTTAAGTTTTGTTATACTTAGAAAAGCCTTTCAAACTGAGAGATTGTCAAAGTCTCATTCTCCCCCATACTTTTTTTTTTTGTTATTAATTTTATATTTTATTTTTGGTGAAAACATACGCAGCAAATTCTGCTCCCATTCAGCAGTTTTTAGACATTGGTCCATGAAGTTTTTATTTCGTTGTTGTAACGGAGACTGTATACAGCAAAACATACCAGTTCAACAGTTTCTCCATGTACGGTTCAGAGACACTGATTACATTCTTTGAGTTGTACAACCCTTCTTACCCTCCTTTTCTGAGTTGTTCCCCACCCCCCATGCTTTTATTGTTTGATCCATTTGAAATTTAGGGAAGGAGCGAATGAGAATTAACTTTTTTTTTTTTTTTCCCAGATGACTATCCATTTGCATTAGTTGTCAAACTACTCAAATATACCACCTTAAAACAACTACCATTTATAAACTTGTGGTCACTGTCGGTTGGGAATCCCGGATCAGCTCAGCCAGGTGGTTCTGACTCAGGGTCTCTCCCAAGGGTGCAATCAAGATGTCTGTCAGGGCTGCATCATCTGAAGCCTCCAAGGGCTGGAGGATTCCCTTCCAAGATGGCCACTCACAGGCTGTTGGCTGGAGGCTTCAGTTCCTTACTGCGTGAGCCTCTCCGTAGGGCTTCTTAAGTGTCCTCGCAACATGGCGGCTGGCTCCCTTGCATGGCGAGTCATTCTGCAAGAGAGCAAGGAGGAAGCTGTAGCTCCTTTTGTGATCAGATTTGGTATTTACAGTGGAAATGACGGGGCTCTAACTGGGAGCCTGGAGCAGAGCCACTGGGCCAGCACCTCCCCCACTCTCTCCTTCCCGCCGGTCCTGAGAACTGGCAGAGTCCAGCTTGGGGTGGCACCTGAGGATCTGGGGGCTTTGTTCCATAAGATGGCTTTACTGCAGTTACTTGCTTTAGTGTCCTTTGCTGTAACACTGGGGTCTGAGACGGGGAAGCCAGGGTATCACACCCAGCTCACACCAGGTGAGAGTGGGAGGAGCCTCCAGGAGAACCCCGACGTCAAGGCTGCCGCAGCCTGGTGTTGACTTGTGACCACTGCAGTGACTTTTTATTTAATTTACAATTTTCAAATGAATGTTTGCCCAGGGAATTAGGTACCTGTCTTGTTTATAAACAAGCTTCTCTTGGGGATTTATCCTCTTGGGTGCTGGTGGGAGGGCAGGAGGTGGAGCCAGGACTTTCTCAGAGGCTCTTGAGATGAGGAACAGCTGTGCGTTGCTGTGTGTGGCCGTCTGACTGTTGGTCTGTCTCCCTCCTCACCACAAGGGAGGCAGGTGTGGACCCTGAAGCAGTCTCTGATTATGTGGAAGAGGCCCCCAGCCCCCCTGCCCTTGGCCCAGACAGCTGGGGCCCAGCCCTTTAACATGCTTCCTTTCCGCGTGGCTGGGCCCTGGCCCCCAACTGCCCCTTGGTGACCTCTGCCCTCTGGCCCTGGAACAGATCTGCGTGCCGGTGGAGTCGTCCAGTCCCCTGGTGGTCAGAAACCAGAAGGAGGTGCTGCGCTGCTACACTGTGCTGGGTGAGCAGGTGGGGAGGGTGGGGGCTCTCTGGACTCAAGGGTCACCCCCAGCTTTAGGCTGGCCCAGAGTCAGGACAGAAGGAGGGGTACTGGGGCCCTGTGGCCACCCCCATCATATGAGAAGCTTTAGTGGGCCCCTAAGAATCTGTGTCCCACACACCACCACCCCCTTGGCCTACAAGAGCACCGAGGTCTCAGGCCGTAGAGCACCCCGCCAGGAGCCTGGCAGCGCAAGGCTGGTGGGGTCCTGAGCACAGTCATGCCCAAACCTGTGTGCAGAGCCCCTTCATCCCCCCAAGGCTTCTCTGGGTGGTTCCGGTCAGGAGCTCTTTGGTCAGCCTCTGACAAAGGCCAGCCAGTGGTGTTGCGGGGGCCACAGTGTAGATCCCTGCCCTTGCTGGCTCCCTGGGGACTCATCCCGGTGACTCTGCCTGGTGGGAGAGGCAGACAGAGACAGCTGCCCCATTAGGCCCGGGCAGGGCTGGGCAAGGGCTGGCCCCTCATGCCTGCCTTCTTGCCTGGGAGGCTGACCAGGGGCCTCGCCTGGCTGAGGGCATTGTAGGCTCCAAGGCAGGGTGGGGGCTGGCCTGGTGATGGGGACGAACAGACAGATAAGCTCCTAGCCCACCCGAGAAGTTTATCCCAACGGGTAGGTACAGGGGCGGAGCTGGCTGACTGCATTTTTGCAGCCTGCTTCGCCCCTGACCGCCTGCTGGCCTTCCTGCTGCCCAAGCTGGACACCAGCAACGAGCGGATCCGCGTGGGCTCCCTGCAGGTCCTGAGACACGTCATCAACTCGGCTGGTGAGTGCCCTCCGCGCCCGAGAAAGACGCTGTCTGTTGTTTAGGTAAAAAGTAGCGTCCTGCTCTGAATTCTTCGAACAGTTTTCCCAACTGCCCCTTGCAGGATTTCAAGCTTTTTGGAAAGTTGTGGGAACAGTACAGTGAAGCCATCAGCCTTCCCGCCAGCCAGACGACACAGCTGTGCCCAGGGCGTCTGTGGGCTCTCCCTGTGGCGGGTGGGTGGGCAGTATGCATGGACTGGTTGTCTCTTTAGACTCTCGGGGTCAAGAGACATTTCCCAGGTTGTGTTTTCCCTTGGTCTTTCCATCAACACTGCTGTTTCTGAAGAGCCTGGGCCAGTTTTGTATAGAGTTTGCCTCTGTCTGGATGTGTCTGATGTTCCCTCGTGATTAGACCCAAGGGACCAGGGCCCTGCTTTGAAGGCTGACTTAGTGGGTGCTAATGAGCTTGGCCAGTTTCACACGGAGCTTGTTGGTGCCTTCTGTGTGTGTTGCCTGTCTTGGAATCAGCAAGCTATGGCTGTGCTGGCGAGCTCAGAGAGGGTTTTACATCTTAACAGGTCATAAAGGCAAACAGGAATATGTGACAGGGACTCACGTGGCCACAACACCTGGAATGGCCTTTTCCAGAATGGGTGTGGCTCACCCTGTGAGGATCTGCATCGGCCACCAGGCTTGGCTGCAAGCTGGTGGCCGTGGGTGTCGGGCAGCTTTCAGAGCTGTGGGGACGATGTAGAAGCAGCTTGGGAAACAGGCAAGGACTTGGGAGGGTGGTGGCTGCTGGGACTACAAGACTGTGCCGCTGAGCTACAAGCCTGGTGACAGCGCTCAGAACCCTGGTGCCCTTGGCGGGCCCAGCACTGCCTGCGATGGCCAGGGACTGCGTCTGAGGCCCTGCCCCTTTGGATGATGCTCCACCTGAGCCCAGGGTGCTGCAGAGGGTGTAGGGCAGCTGAGCACAAAGGAAAGCAGCCCCTCCTTAAGCAGCACTTCAGCTGCCCCACAGAGACCCCATGAAGTGGCCATGCTGTCCCCAGGTAACTGAGGTTGAGGACTATCAAGTCACATGCCATCTGGCACATCTGGGCGGTGGTGTGGAGATGAGGTCCTGGCCCTCGAGGGGCTTGCGGCCTCTGTCTTTTCTTAGTGGGGGACTGAGCCATCCGGGGGGTCTCTTGCAGCTGCTCAGATGGAAATCCGGAAGCTTTTCATCCTTTCCTCCATGCGGCTCCCCCTTCTGGACACCAATAACAAGGTAGCTGGACCGGAGCACAAGCAGGGGCAGTGCAGGGGGCACATGCCACCTGCTGTGGGGACTGCTACTCCTGCACCCTACTCTCGGTGCTGGTGACCAGGGTGATCTGTGCCAGCTCAGGACCGGCTTCCATGCAGGACCCAGAGGGTCCTCCCGCCGCCGCCCCAGGGCCTTCCCAGCCTGTGTGTTGTCCCCTGGGCCTGCTTACAGGGCCTTCTGTGAGATGCTCATCACGCTCCCCCAGAAGTGTCACTGACATTGACCCAGTAGGGTCAGGTGTCCCGTGCCCTCAGTCTGAACATCTACATGCTGCCACTGCCCACTTGTTCCAGCTCCCCCTCCACCACAGGGGACACATGTGTGGGGGCGTGACAGGGCCAGGAGTTGGGGCAGTGGCTGCTGAGGCATGGGTTGCCTGGGTCAGCAGGAGAAGGCTGAGGTAGGCAGTGTGTGGGAGGGGCTGGTCGGTGATGGGCCTGCATCTGTCTCTGAGGTGAGGGGAAGCACACAGTGAGGGGTGCTGGCTTGATGAGAGGGCGGCTGTTCTAGCCCACAGTGGACTGCCAGGTCCTCAGACACCAGCAGGCCGTCAGGTGGAGGGTGGGCGCTCAGGGTCAAACTGCCCAGGACTGTCTGGAGAGCAGCTACAGGTCAGGTCCTCACCTTAAAGGGCAGACGGACCGCAAGGTGATGTGCACCAGCCCCAAAGGACACCAGCATGTGTAGTTGGATCAGGGGGCACACAACTGGGGAGCCAGAGAGCCCAGCCCAGTGGTGGGTGAGCGGGGCTGCGTGTCCGGGGCTGGGCTGGGGGCTGGTGGTGGTGAGCGGGGCTGGGTGTCCAGTGGGTAGGGGTGGGCCCAGAGCCTCTGTAGCGCTGCTGTGATGGAGCTGGGGCTGACACTCCATCAGAGTGGATGAGGAAGGAAGACAGTGAAAGGGGAAGCTTGGAGGAGAGCAGGAAAGGAGGGTAGGGGAAGTGAGGTCAGAGCTGCTTTCCGCTAAACACCTGAGTGTGACCCCAAGCTGGAGGGAGCCCCTCTGTAGCCGAGAGACTGCAAAGAAGGCAGACATGGGCGCGGGTACATGTGTAGGTGCGGATGGGGGTGCAGGTACAGGTGTGTGTGCAGGTACAGGTGTGCATGCTGGTGCAGGTGTAGGTGTAGGAGCAGGTTGAGTGCAGGTAGGGATGTGGGGGCAAATGCAGTGCAGGTCGGGGAAGGGTGAGCATTCATCTCCCAGCAGGACCAGAGGAGCCTGCAGTGAGCACTCTGTCTCAGGCCCCTCCTGCTCCTCCCTTGTTCCGGCAGGTGAAGCGGGCAGTGGTGCAGGTGATCAGTGCCATGGCCCACCACGGCTACCTGGAGCAGCCCGGAGGCCAGGCAATGATGGAGTACATTGTGCAGCAGTGTGCGCTGCCCCCCGAGCTACAGGTAAGGCCACCTTGCCCACCCCACAGGGGCACTTCTTTTGTCGGGCCGTGGGCCCCAGTGCGGCCTGGTTCATGTCTCCTGGCACTCAGGACTGAGCAGGCAGAGACAGGAGAGGCAGTTCACTCTCTTTGGGCATTTCTGTTTAAAAAGTCACCAAGCAGATGCCGAGGTTAGGAAAGGACAGGTGCACCGTCCTCACAACACTGGTGTCTGTGACCGTGGTTTCCTCTGCACCCAGAACCGAGCAGCAGAGCTCAGTAAGAGTGCGTGTGGTCGTGGGCATGTCGTTGTTGCTGTTAGCTGCCCTCAAGCTGGCCCCCGGCTCATGGCTACCTGTGTACAGTGGAACGAAGTGCTGCCCGGTCCTGCACCATCCCCATGATTGGTTGCAGATTGGACTGTTATGATACATAGGGTTTTTACTGGCTGATTTTTGGAAGTGGATCACCAGGCCTTTCTTCATAGTCTGTCTTAGTCTGGAAGTTCTGCTGAAACCTGTTCAACATCGCAACACACAAGCACCCATTGACAGATGAGTGGTGGCTGCACATGAGGTGCATTGGCTGGAAGTCAAACCCAGGTCTCCTGCATGGAAGGCAAGAATTCTGTCACTGAACACCACTGCTCTCTGTGGTTATTTTATTTCTTAGTATTTAATAAAAGGAAGCTTTCTCAAGTATGAACCTTTGCTAAGAACATCAGATCTGGGGCTTTCCTGAGGGCTCGGGGGGTGGGGTCCTCCTTTCCGTGTGTCCGCTCTTTTTGGTAGCGCTGAGGGTCTCTAGGCATGAGAGTTCCTGTTCCTCCACATCCTCCTCAGTACCTGCCCAGTGTTTTGTTTTCTTAGCCATCCCAATAGGTGGTATTCCACTGTGGTTTAATGCTTACTCAAAGTGGAGGGGACTTGAAGCACTTACTGATGAAGGTCAAAGACCAGAGACCACAGCCTTCAGTATAGATTATACATTAACATAAAGAAAACAAAAATCCTCATAACTGGACCAGTACGCAACATCATGATAAATGGAGAAAAGATTGACGTTGTCAAGGATTTCATTTTACTTGGATCTACAGCCAACACCTATGGAAGCAGCGGTCAGGAAATCCAATGACCTGTTGCATTGGGCAAGTCTGCTGCAGAAGACCTCTCTAAAGTGTTCAAAAGCAAAGATGTTACTTTGAGGACTAAGGTGCACCTGACGCAAGCCATGATATTTTCAGTTGCCTCATAAATGCCTGTGAAAGCTAGACAATAAATAAGGAAGACTAAAGAACTGATGCCTTTAAATTACGGTGTTGGTGAAGAATATTGAATACACCACAGACTGCCAGAAGAAGGAACACGCCTGTCTTGGAAGAAGTACAGCCAGAGTGCTCCTTGAGAGTGAGGATGAGAGACTACGTCTCAAGTACTTTAGACACATTATCAGGAGGGAGCAGTCCCTGGAGAAGGACATCATGCTTGGTAAAGTAGAGGGTCAGTGAAAAAGAGGAAAACCCTCAATGGGATGGATTGACAAAGTGGCTGCAAAAATGGGCTCAAACATAGCAATGATGGTGAGGGTGGCACAGGACTGGGCGGTGTTTCATTCTGTTGCACACAGGGTCGCTATGAGTCGGAACTGACTCAGCGGCACATAACAGCAACAACAACAACAAGGGATTATGGTGGTTATGATTTATTACTCTTGTACTATATTGCTGGAATTGATCTGTTGAAAATTCTTACATTTCTTCATAAGAGATTCTGGTCTGCGCTTTCTTTGTCTGGTTTGTAATGCGAAAGCCTCATTAAATGAGTTTAGTTTCTGGAAGAGTTTGTGAAGAATTTATTTCTCCCTTAAATCTTTGGTAGAACTCACCAGTGAAACCATGTAGGCCTTGAGGTTTCTTTGTCGGGAAGTTTTTGATCGTGAATTCGATTTCTTTAATAGACATAGGACTATTTAGGCTATCTGTTTTTCGTGAATAAACTTTGGTGTGGTGTCTCTCTGGGTTGTGGGTCCCAAGACCACCTCCGTGTTTGGTGGTTTGCCTGGAAGGACTCACACGGGACGCAGAGGCACACATACTCGTGTTTGGTGATTTGCCTGGAAGGACTCACACGGGACGCAGAGGCACACATACTGCAGCTGTAGTTTATCACGCGAGTAAATGAGCCACAGCAGGTGGGTTCTGGGCGAGGGGTCACGCTCGCACTTGCAGCAGCGGCACACAGCAGCCCAGTGCAGTGTGTCTGCCCAGGGACGCCTGTCAGAGACTGAATCCAGCGTTGTTATTGGTGGCTGGTCATGTAGGCACTCTGCCAGCCACAACCACCTAAGTTCCAGACTTCCAGAAGGAAAGCAGGTACTCAGTGCCTCAGGCAGCCCAACCATCTTAATACTTAGAGAATGTTTCAGAAGCCGTTCTGGGGCTTCAGCCATGGACCAGCCTTGCAAGCAGGCCTTCTACAGATCAGTCTGTTGTTAACACATTGTCTTTCCAGAGTTTTCTCCTTTTGTCTAAGCTGTTGAATTTGTGGCCATAAAATTGAGATTGCTCTTTTAACAAATTAAGAATTCAGCTTTTTAATAGTCTTTCTAGATAGTAGACTTTTCTTTTCCAACCCTAGAACTAGGCAAGCTGATTCTAAAATGACATGGGAAAAACAACAAGCAAAACATACATGTACAACCACGTGTATTTATCACTTATTTCACCAATAGCAAGTTATTTCTAATATCTGATACCTTTTGTGCTAATTAGTAAACACTCCCTTGCAGAAATATTTGAAACTCAGCATGACTGCCTCTGAAGTGAGGATTCCATTAGGGGCTAAACAGTGCTAACTCACTTCTGGGATGTGCACTGCCATCCAAGGATGTGGATGAAACGTTGACACAGACACGTGCACATGTGCACAAATCTGTGTATATATTGAAGTTAGACAATAAGCTTTTAAGAGAAAACTAACTACTGCTGAGGTATTGGTACTTTCTACTATCACTAATTTTCAGTTAAACATAGTTTTACGATTTTTGCAATTTAAGTAGTTTATTAATCCTTGAAACTAACTTTAATCGTTGAAATGAAGTATAAAGGTCTTGGACTTTATCTTTTCTTAGGCACTCTGTCAGTTTCTGCACAGACAGCTAGGATTGGACAGGAATTGTGTTGAATCTGTAGATCAATTTGGGGAGTATTGCCATCTAGCAATATTAAGTCTTTTGATCCATGAACTTGGGATGTCCCTCCATTTATTGCAGTCTTCTTTCATTTCCTTCAACAGTGTTTTAGATTTTTCAGAGCGTAAGTTTTATACTTCCTTTGTTAAATTTATTCCTAAGTATTGTATTCTTCTTGATGTTATTGTAAATGTAATTGTTTTCTTAATTTCATTTTCGGTTTGTTCATCGCTACTATATAGAAACACAATTGTCTTTTCACATTGATCTTCTGTACTGCAACAGTTGCTGAGTTCACATATTAGTTCTAATAGTTTTTTAATTGATTCCTTAAGATTTACTGTGTAACAAAATAATAAATGCTGGAGAGGTTGTGGAGAGGCTGGAACACTTATACACTGTTGGTGGGAATGTAAAATGGTACAACCACTTTGGAAATCAATTCGGCACTTCCTGAAAAAGCTAGAAATAGAAGTACCATACGATCCAGCAATCCCAGTTCTTGGAATATATCCTAGAGAAATAAGAGCCGTCACACGAATAGATACATGCACACCATGTTCATTGCAGCACTATTCACGATAGCAAAGAGATGGAAACAACCTAGGTGACCATCAATGGACAAATGGATAAACAAATTATGGTATATTCACATAATGAAGTACTGTGCAGTGGTAAAGAACAATGATGAATCCGTGAAACATAACATGGAAGAATCTGGAGGGCATTATGCTGAGTGAATTTAGTGAGTCACAGAAAGACAAATATTGTATAAGACCACTATTATAAGAACTCAAAGGTTTAAACACAGAAGAAAACATTCTTTGATGGTTACGAGGGTGGGGAAGAAGGGTGAGGGTTATTCACTAGCTAGATAGTAGACAAGAATTTTCTTAGGTGAAGGGAAGGACAGCACACACTACAGGGGAAGTCAGCACAACTGGACTAAACCAAAGTTTCCTGAATACAATCAAGCACTTCGCGGGACAGAGTAGCAGGGGCGGGTGTCTGAGGGCCATGATTTCAGGGAACATCTAGGTCAACTGGTATAACAGTTTATTAAGAAAATGTTCTACATCCTACTTTGGTGAGTGGCGTCTGGGGTCTTAAAAGCTAGCCAGCAGCCGTCTAAGACTCATCAGTTGGTCCCAACCACCTGGAGTAAAGGAGAATGAAGAACACCAAAGACACAAGGAAAGTATTAGCCCAAGAGACAGAAAGGGCCACATAAACCAGCAACTGCATCATCCTGAGACCAGAAGAACTAGATGGTGCCCAGCTACCATCAATGACCACCCTGACAGGGAACATAATAGAGAGTCCCTGATGGAGCAGGAGAAAGGTGGGGTGTAGAACTCAAATTCTAGTAAAAAGACCAGACTTGATGGTCTGACTGAGACTGGAGGAACCCCAGAAAGCGATGCCCCAGACTCTCTGTCAAGCCAGAACTAAAACAATTCCCAAGGCCAACTCTTCAGACAAAGATTGGACTGGACCATGGTATATAAAATGATACTTGTGAAGAATGTGCTTCTTAGCTTAAGTAGATACATGAGACTAAATGGGCAGTTTCTGTCTGGAGGTGAGATGAGAAGGCAGAGAGGGTCAGGAGCTAGTTGAATGGACACAGGAAATCAGGGGTGGAAAGGAGGAGTGTGCTGTCACAGTATGGAGAGGGCAATTAGAGTCACATAACGTATAAATTTTTCTGAGAGGCTAACCTGAATTGTAAACTTTTACTTAAACTACAACAATAAAGAAAAAGAAAAAAAGATTTACTGTGTAAAAGATCATGTGATCTGCATGTAGAAATAGTTTTACTTTTCTCTTTCT